TCGGAACACAAATTAAGATATTTTTGATGAAATCTGAGAGCTCTCAGATCCTGCATAGACAGCAACGCAACTGTAATGTTCCCAGGTCCAGAAACGTAGGACATCGGTAAAACAGTCCATGTGACGTCAGTGGCTCAACTTCAGTTTTGCAAAGCTACGAGAATACTTTTTTGTGCGCAAAGAAAACAAAAATAACAATTTATTCAACAATTCTTCTCCACCGAGTTACGTCTTCTGCCATTTTGGAGAGTATCCAAGAATGTATTCGACGTAATCAGCGTTGTTTATGTTCGGGGGGAAAACGCGTGCATTAACGTAATCAGCGTTGTTTATGTTTGGGGGGAAAATGCGTGCATGAATGTAATCAGCGTTGTTACTAGGGCTGGGTTTTGACACAAATTTCACTACACGATTCAATTTTCATTTGCAAGCTTCGATTCGATTCAATATAGATTATTTTGGATATATATCAGGTACAGTACATGTAAAAAAATCTCTCAACTAATGCTGAAAAATATACATGAGTCAGGTGGTACTACAAATTATAATATTGAAGGTTAAAATTGACTGATTTGTGCTGTACAACTTCTTAAATTGAACTTAATGAAGTTTTTATAAAGTTACAATTCAGTTTTTTTTTAAATATACACATTTAAATAGTGGCTGTCATAAAAACTTGGACGGATTTATTCAAACATACATAAAACATTAAAGAACAGTAAAAAATATATATAATGAATGTTATATGGTGCATATATTTAGCAAAATGCCCCTCTCTACAGTTTATTTTGCTAACTTAGCCTACTAACGAGTTTATGGTCACCGAATATGCTTTTCGAGGTAAATGTGATGTTACATTAATTGTTTACAAGCTGTTATATTGACGTCTTTGCATGGCTGAAACATTGATTTAACGATTATATGAAACAGGATACGGATTGTAAAGTTGTACTCTTTCTTTTAACTTACCTTCGGATGTTTATTATCGGATGATAATTTTGTGCTGAAACTGGTATTAATGTGGAGGAGATGATCAGGTCACGTGCGCCTCGCGCTACCTCGTTTGTTGAATTGAGGCGCTATCGATCTGTCACTCCACATTAAACGGCGCCAAAACGGCGTTTATTGTTTAAATACTGCAATACAATGGACATAAATTGAAATCTGAGACTTTGTTTCATATTAAAATGACCAAAGCACAATGCTTATTGCGATTTATTGGATAGGAGATGCCCTTCACTGTTCCGTCCATTGAGTTAACTGAAAACAGGTTAGACTAATTGATTCTTGGGATTTAAGAATCAATATCGTTTCGTAAAAATGAGAATCGATTAAAATAGAGATATCGATATTTTTTTACCCAGCCCTAGTTGTTACACTTAGGGTAAAGCGTGCGTATGCGTTGCGATACTCTCCAAAATGGCGGAAGACGTAACTCGGGGAGCAGAATTGTTGAATAAAGTCGTCTTTTTTTTTGCGCACAAAAAGTATTCTCGAAGCTTCGCAAAATTGAAGTTAAGTCACTGATGTCACATGGACTGTTTTACCGATGTCCTTGCTACGTTTCTGGACCTGGGATTATTACAGTTGCTTTGCTGTCTATGGGAGGGTCAGAAAGCTCTCCAAATACATCAAAAATATCTTAATTTGTGTTCTGAAGATGAACGAATGTCTTACGGGTTTGGAATGACATAAGGGTGAGTAATTAATGACAGAATTTAAATTTTGGGGTGAACTAACCCTTTAAGCTTAAGGTTTTTTTTTTATGGTCAGGTTTGTGTCCTAGGTGATGGGTTCAAGTGTCACAAAATGTATCAATCACAAAACAAGCAGGTCAGTTTCAGTATTTTGATTTTATTTTTTCTTCATTTTTTTTTATGCTTTTTTTGTTTTAAGAAACAAATGCTTGCAGATGTCAAATGAATTAACACTCACATCCTCACCACTTTTAGATCCTGACTGTCACAGCCAACCCACGCAAGCCGGGTTCTCAGCCGGCCAATCACAACCACCCCAGATTCTCAAACCGACACCCACTTCCTGTTAAGTGCATATGCAAATCGAAATGTTTTTTTATTTATTTTTATTAATAACGAAAGTGCACAGGTGGAGCAATACTTTCGTAAACATAACATCCCTGCATTAATTCCTGTATATTTATTTAATTTTTGCAGGATGTCTTGAGCTGGAATGAGAATCTGGAAAAGACACCGAAGGTAAGGATGAAGGGATTCGTTTCCATTCATTCACTCATTTGTAAACAGCTTATCCTTTTTCTTTTTCTTTTCTCATAACCCTACATCAACAGGTTTAACGAGGCCTTTTGCCGTACCGTCCGCGCTCCCCTCGCGTAAGACAAAAAGGTTCATCGATAACATGGTTCAAAATAAAGTTTAGTGATTGTGCTTTTAAAACCAAAGTCAAACATAGAACAACAAACATCGACAATGACAAAAAGAATAACAGTGCATTAAAAAACAAACAAACAATAACTTTCCAAATGTGGCACTTTTCCTGGGGCAGTTTAAACACTATGACAATTTACAACCAGGATGACAGCTATAAAAAAAAAAAATTATATTAACTGGCGTAATTAAAAAAATTATTAAAATAAACCGAGGAAGACAAATTTAATGTACCACAATGGATTATAAAAGACAGTTAGATATGTATACACGTGTATGTACATGTCAGTCCCTTTGTGCCTGGAGTTTCATTACAGTAACAGACTGACAACCTTCTCGCTAAGGTGAACAAAGCCATAATCAGTTTCAGGAGCTAACGGACACGTCATATTGCATTGGAATCAAAACAAAACTGCATTAGCCCCTCTCAAATGCACCCTTTGTTTTTTCTTCTGTCTTTTCTTCTTTAAATGCACAATCGAAAATTAAGGGAAATAAATGAAGAATGGTTGGTCAGTTTTCCAAACGTGACTCTATGTCGGTAGTTTTCAGTAAAAGATACCGCCGAGATGGTCAAACTGTGCTGAAGATGGTTGCTGAGGAACATTTGACAGCCATATTTTTATCTTCAGCTCTCCACCATCTGAAAAGAAAAGACTGAAGCATTATAGCAAACATCATACAATGAAACAATAAATATGTACCATACAAAAGGCACAGTAACACCAGTGTTATTCAGAAAGAGCTTTATTGCCAAGTACAGTTGGGCAAATAAGTATTTGATACACTGCTGATTTTTCAAGTTTTCCCACTTACAAAGAATGGAGAGATCTGTAATTTTCATCGTAGGTACACCTCAACTGTGAGAGACAGAATCAAAAAAAAAATCCAGAAAATCACATTGTATGATTTTTAAATAATTAATTTCCATTTTATTGCTTGAAATAAGTATTTGATCACCTACCAACCAGCAAGAATTCTAGCTCTCACAGACCTGTTAGTTTATCTTTAAGAAGCCCTCCTATCCTCCACTCATTACCTGTATTAATTGCACCTGTTTGAACTTGTTACCTGTATAAAAGACACCGGTCCACACACTCAATCAATCAGACTCCAACCTCTCCACTATGGGCAAGACCAAAGAGCTGTCTAAGGACACCAGGGACAAAATTGTAGACCTGCACAAGGCTGGGATGGGCTACAGGAAAATAGGCAAACAGCTTGGTGAGAAGGCAACAATTGTTGGCGCAATTATTAGAAAATGGAAGAAATGCAAGATGACTGTCAATCTCCCTCGGACTGGGGCTCCATGCAAGATCTCGCCTCGTGGAGTATCAATGATCCTGAGAAAGGTGAGGAATCAGCCTAGAACTACACTGGTGGACCTGGTCAATGACCTGAAGAGAGCTGGGACCACAGTCTCAACGGTTACCATTAGTAACACACTACACCGTCATGGATTAAAATCCTGCAGCATGGGCAAGGTCCCCCTGCTCAAGCCAGCACATGTCCAGGCCCGTCTGAAGTTTGCCAAAGACCATCTGGATGATCCAGAGGAGGCATGGGAGAAGGTCATGTGGTCAGAGGAGACCAAAATAGAAGTTTTTGGTATAAACTCCACTCGACGTGTTTGGAGGAAGAAGAAGAATGAGTATAATCCCAAGAACACCATCCCAACCGTGAAGCATGGGGGTGGAAACATCATGCTTTGGGGGTGCTTTTCTGCAAAGGGGACAGGACGACTGCACCGTATTGAGGGGAGGATGGATGGGGCCATGTATTGCGAGATTTTGGGCAACAACCTCCTTCCCTCAGTAAGAGCATTGAAGATGGGTCGTGGCTGGGTCTTCCAGCATGACAATGACCCCAAACACACAGCCAGGGCAACTAAGGAGCGGCTCCGTAAGAAGCATTTCAAGGTCCTGGAGTGGCCTAGCCAGTCTCCAGACCTGAACCCAATAGAAAATCTATGGAGGGAGCTGAAACTCCATGTTGCCCAGCGACAGCCCCAAAACCTGAAAGATCTGGAGAACACCTGTATGGAGGAGTGGGCCAAAATCCCTGCTGCAGTGTGTGCAAACCTGGTCAAGAACTACAGGAAGCGTCTGACCTCTGTAATTGTAAACAAAGGTTTCTGTACCAAATATTAAGTTCTATTTTTCTATTGTATCAAATACTTATTTCATGCAATAAAATGGAAATTAATTATTAAAAAATCATACAATGTTATTTTCTGGATTTTTTTTTTTGATTCGGTCTCTCACAGTTGAGGTGTACCTACGATGAAAATTACAGATCTCTCCATTCTTTGTAAGTGGGAAAACTTGAAAAATCGGCAGTGTATCAAATACTTATTTGCCCCACTGTATGTTTCTATCTATCTATCTATCTATCTAT